GGGGGAGGAAGCATAGGACGGAGGGAAGCCAACGAAGCGCCACGCCAGGCAAAAGTCACTACCAGGAGCAGAGAAATGGAAGAAAAAACCTTTGAGGGTGGCAGATACGAGGTCGACGACAGCAGTGCAGACCAGGGACGTAGCTAGGGGAGGTCCGGGGAGCTGTAGGGCAGAGATCGCGCACCTGTCAGGGAGCGCTCGGGGTTATGTCGGGGAGATGTCGGGGAGATGTCGGGGAGATGTCGGGGAGATGTCGGGGAGATGTCGGGGAGATGTCGGGGAGATGTCGGGGAGATGTCGGGGAGATGTCGGGGAGATGTCGGGGAGATGTCGGGGAGATGTCGGGGAGATGTCGGGGAGATGTCGGGGAGATGTCGGGGAGATGTCGGGGAGATGTCGGGGAGATGTCGGGGAGATGTCGGGGAGATGTCGGGGGGCAGCGCGGGCTATGGCAGCGGGCCATCTTCTCGTGGAAGGCGCGGGAGATGTGGGGGAGATGTGGGGGGAGACATCGGGGCGCAGCGGGCCATCTTCTCGTGGAAGGCGGACGCCGCGCGGATGAGCGAGGAGCACCGGGATCTCGTGGTGGCGGCGGTCGGCGGCGAGGCGGCGGGCGGTGAGCGCGTCTTCTTCCCGCCCGACCCGCCCGTCCTCCCGCTGCCCTCCCGCTCGCGCCGCCAGCTAGTCTGGGCTCTCGGCGAGGCGTCCGCCAACGCGCCGCCCTCGCCCGCCAGCCTCTCGCCCATCCTCGGGGGAGCGGCCTTCGGAGGCCCGGCAACGCTAGAAGCGGGAAGACGCTGTCCTGTCTCCCAGCCAGCGCTCGAGAGGACACGCACTCCGCCGCAGTCGACTGTACACTCGGCGGTCTTCCGCTGTCCTCGTATCTCCCTGGTAGCCCCTCGTACTCACGCGGTGCCACGCATGCTTCTGCGCAACACACCGTCCTCCCGCCCCGATGCTGGCGTGCTCACCGGTATCAACGACTCGTTTCAGTCATACCTCGTGCAGCACGTCAGGCCTGCCCCTCGCCGCCGACGGTTGCGGCGAGGAAGAGCCTCTGGAGGTGGTCGACGCTCGAGATGCCGCGGAGGCACGCAGCCCCACATCTCCCCACATCTCCCCACATCTCCCCACATCTCCCCACATCTCGAGACGCGGCGGAGGCACGCAGCCCCACATCTCCCCACATCTCCCCACATCTCCCCACATCTCCCCACATCTCGAGACGCGGCGGAGGCACGCAGCCCCACATCTCCCCACATCTCCCCACATCTCCCCACATCTCGAGACGCCGGCTGGAAGCTACGCTAGCCCCCACATTTTCCCCCACATTCTTCCCCAACATCTTTC